TGTGCAGCACTGCCCCAGGAAGCAACTCTAGCAGCCATCTGAGGAGTGACCAGTGGAATTATCACTAGGCTGTAATGTAAACACTGCATTTTCTCTGAAAACACAGTATTTACAGCACAAAGCCGGAAGGGAATGATTCTACTCACCAGAACAAATACAATAAGCTGTAGTTGTTCTGGCGACTATAGTGTCCCTTTAATATAGTCTGTTTTACTAAATAGTGAGGTAGGCTGTGTGTAAACTGATGTGTTATTGCTGCTGCCAGTTTACTGAGACTTGGACATGTTTACACTATCTAACTAACAGTGTCAAGTTATGGAAATATTGTTCAAGTATCAGTGAGTGATACTACTGTAATCTTGATAATGAAGATAACTCCACAGAGAAATATGTTTTATTTTTGTTTTAAAGGAATAGCACCAAAACAACAGCCAAAAAAACTATTAATAAAGGTGTTCAGATTTAGTCATTTTAATTCACAAATGACAATGCATTTTTGAATAAAGTACATTTGTTTGGTTTCCACCTGTTTGATTCTGTTTGAAATTTCTTTGGTCTTTTTTTTTTAATTAGTTTTTTTCCAACTCTGCTCCATGCCACTTATTGCGGTATAATCTCAAATGAGTTGTTGCGTAATGTGCCGGGCCTCATCCACAGATATGCTGGGAACGGCTGATGTGCAATTTAGTAGGATAAAAATGGAAGAGTTTGTAGTGTCTGTGCATGAGAGACTCCCATTTATTTATGTGCATAAACATTGTACACAGTGTTGTGTGTAGATCATTGTTTACTACAGTAAATTAGGATCTAAACACCATCGCAACTCTGCATATGGCTGATGGTACAAAGCTGCATCCACCTTTCCCCTAGAACAGGGTTCTCCAAACTACAAACTGACCCACAACACCCATGATTCCTTGACTTAATTAGGTAGCCAGAGAATCATGGGAGTTGTAGTTCAGCAACATCTGGAGTGCTGGAGTTTGGAGAACCCTGCCCTAGACATTTGCTAAACAGAAGAATAGATTCCATACCCCAGAATGAGTTGCTCCTGGCTGAAGTTCTGCTTCCTTGTGAGCTGAAGTTCTGCCTTTTGCTGCAGACAGTCCTTATAAAGAATCCAGGAACGTGGTAAAGGTAGTTTAAACATTTTTTCTCTCATTTGCTAGCATGCAGATGCATTGGATATTTTTTCCAAGTTTTTAGCTCTTTGATATCGTACTTGGAGTGTCCCTCAGATTGCCAGGTTTTAGACATGTCTTGAGAGAAAGTCAAGTTGTCTCTGCATAGTTTTGATTCAGAGCTGTCAGTGAGAGATTTTCCTAAATCTCTCTCATTCTCATTTATTATTATAGAGATATTGCTCTGGTGTTTAAGCTCAATGAAAACATGCCTTACCAGATATTGACTGGGTCCAAAATGGTCAGTGTCCTTGTAAGGTTTAGCCTCTGAGTTTGGCTCATGTTAATTTCAGTGAATAATTGAGGCAATAAATCTTAGATCTGCTTTGACCAATATTGAATTAAATAAATTAACTCCAGTGGCTCTGTGTGTAGAAAGATAAATAAGTATAAGTATAGCAGTAAAAAAACTAAACAGATCTCAAATGGATAAAGACAATAAGGGTTACACAGATCGAATGAATAGAGGCAGATATCATGTTTAAATTTGGTCATATAATATAATATAGGATGATCTGCAACAAATGCCTTTTGTTGGTGTCCGTCCCAAAATAAAAAGAAGAAAAAAATTATGTATGAAAGGATCCTGAAGATAAAATAAATAAACTGAATTCACGTGCAGCATCTATTGGAAGTAGCTAGTAAGAATGTGCATAACTGTATTTTAGTCTTATAATAGACTTGTAATAGGCTAATAGTCTTATAATAGGCATTTCACATTTATATGAACTAGATAGATATCCTATGATATTCAACAAGTATGTTGAGTGTTAAGTTTAGCCATCGCTCCCCAATACTCTCACTGGTGGTATACGGACATTGACAAACAAGTAATCTGCAAAGCCTGCTCGTTAACTTGCTTTCTTGTTTATATTATTTTGAATACAATTCTTTGTCTTTTGTTTTTTTTGCAAATAAAGTTTTTATAGATTTTTCTGTAAAATACCAAAATTCAGAGAAATATAGAAACATATGCAGGTCACTCATGATAATGGCCATAACATAGTGTAGCGCAGGATATAGATCACAAGATCAGAAGTTATGAATCAGCATAATAGGTGCCGCCCTCCACTGATATTGGGGGGTTAATTGCCTTCTAGATTTCTCCAGTTAGCCCCCAATATCGAGGGAGGCACCCTTTATCATGATTCATAACTTCTTATTTTGTGAGTGCGATACATTTGGCGCTATTTTATATGTATATAATGTGCTACACTATGTTATTTTTTATTTTCATTTGTGTTTTAGGGACAGTGTATTACCTGCCTGTATACATTTTGTGTGGTGCACTATTGTATCTAAGGAAAACCTGCTGGGAGTTTCTTTGGAGGTATATAATATCAAGTACCACACACTAGTTTAGTGTTTTTTTTAGTGATGGGAGTTGTATATTTTCATTTTATACACATGATAATAGCAGACTTGCCCTTGACATGAGGGAACACAATAGAACAATTGGGTAGATAATTTTGAACAGGATTTTGAACAGGATATTAAAATATTATTGCGTGACCAAGATTCCAAGAGAGCCCTGCTTAGAGGGGTAGACTAAGCACCATAACCACTATGTGCTGATGTTGTGGTTATGGTGATATTAGGCTGCAGACCTGAACTCCCACTTGTTGTTTTTGAGCAGTTTATCAAAACCAAGCATGTCTGAGACAGTCATTGCCCGGCCATGGCTCACTAGATTGATAATTCAAAAGTTACGCTCCTATACATTACCAGTATCGAATTCAATGCCATCTCCTTCATTTAGATGGGTTTGATTGGTTGAGCATGTCATGTGACTTACTCAGGCAGTCAGTGACTTCCAAATATAGATGAGATAGACGTTGCTACTGTGGAAGTGTACCTTCTTCAACGACTCCTGGTTTTGGTCAAATCTGAAAACAGTTTAAACAAGAACCATAGAACGGAGCCCACAGTCTAATAGCAACATTACATGGCATGTAGTGCTTATGGTGCATCAACTGCCTCTTTAACGAGTAGACCTTTCATCTATTTTATGTTAAATTTTGGAGCTCGGACTGCAGACAGTATTATAGGTCACCAATAGCACAGTTCAGAATCTTGACTTAGGGACTCTTTGCAGAGCTCAGATTCATATTTATAGTTTGAATATTCCCACCCACAATATTCGTCTAACAATCTACCTAGTTAGAGGTGATTTCTATTGATGCTCACACCTGGAAATCTGTTTAACAGCGAATTTAACCATTACCGGTACATATACAAAAAATATGCATAATTTCACATTTTCTCCTTATCTTCTACAATTTTGTACTAATTTCAGGTGAGTTGACTAAGGTACAATTCCCAGCCTGGTTTATACGATACCTCTCAACATTTCAGATTGACGAAGAGGGTCACTTTCATTTTAAGGGTGTGCGATGACGTGGTTAGCGGTGGAACTGTTCTGATAAATTTTAGATGACTTACTAATAACAATTTATGCAACGAAAATGCAATTATGAGCAATAATTATATATCTTATTTACACAGACTGAATTCTAAACACATTTATTTAGTTTAAAGACAAATTACAATGGAGCTTCTAGAAAAGAGGGGCATTACGATGGAAAATTGGAACTAGGGATTTGGGCCCCAAATAGGGATTGACCCTAATAACTAGGGACACTTGGCAGGTATGCTATATGACTTTTTCTATTTAGCATATGAATACACTTCTGTCAGTGAGAATAATGTAGACGTGTGTGTATCCTCTTTAAACACAATTAAAATGCTTCAGACTCAGTACAAATGAATAAAAAGATAGATGAATAAGCACAGCTCGTCATCGGTGATGCTCATATGTATTTGAAAAACAAAAATAAACTCTTGAGTGATCAAGTCTATCTGCATATTTGCATTGACTCAAGCTCACCCACATGTTTTTTCTGAGAAGATAAAACTGTTATTCATTCATATTAAAATCTGTAATGAGAAAATCTGAGGCTAACGCATTAGATCGTATCGCTTTTGAATATGTGATCATACACAGATGTCATACAGGAACCACTTACTGATATTTACTAAAGGCTCTGGGATACATTCACTAAATACAGAATTGTACTGAATTGATAACCAAACTTCAAAACAGCCAATATGTGACATACAGAGTTATTCACAGTAGTGTGAATTGTCAGGAAGGCAAAGTGAATTCAAAAGTGGATTTTACATTATAGGTCAAAATAAGTGAATTAGAAAAGTAATGTAAATTGGAAATGCATTTTGTGTATATGTATAAGTGTATATATATATATATATATATATATACCCCATATTTATACCCTGAAAGGTAAAGTGGTTTAGAAATGTCTCCAGTAATAAGAGATGGCATTATCTTCCCTTAATACACAGATCACTATTGTGTATGTTTTTTAATGTCATTTTCTGATTATGGTTAGTGTTAGTGTGAAGGCAGTGCAGAGTTTATTCTCCCCAATGCTCAGCCTGGATATTAAACTCTATGGGGCTAATTTAAAAAAAGTGGCTCTGCTGTTTCCATGGCAAAATTATATTTTATAGAGTTATTTTTGTTTGCGCCAATCAATAGTCAGTCGCTCAGAAACTATTACACAAGGAGAGTTGAGAAGCAAACTTTGAATACTGTGAGATCTATTTACTAAACAGGGAAATTGCAATGAATTGGCAAACAAACCACACAATTTCAGCAAAGTTGGTGATATTTTCAAACCTACTAATTGGCCTACATTTTTAAATTGACAGGGTTAGCCACTAAGGAGATAAAGCAATTCACGGCAATTTATTGTGTAGTGTAAAACACACTAGATCAGGGTTCTCCAAACTCTGGCCCTTTAGATTTTGCTAAACTACAACTCCCACGATTCTTTGAATGAATATGATAGGCAGGGAATCATGGGAGTTGTAGTTTAGCAAAATCTAGAGGGCCAGAGTTTGGGGGGAACCCTGCAGTAGATTAACAAGTTGACTTGTTCCATTGGCTGCACTGCACGGTTTGGATGCTGGCGGTCCATAAGGGAACGGCACTGTTATGTGAACCTGGCAGAAGAAGAGGATGCTCACCAGGAGATGGTGTAGTTGTAACACCTGAAAACAAATAAAGAGAATCCATTTGGGGTTTATGTGACATTAAATGTCACAGTAAAAATGCTAATCCAGCCGTTTGAAATACTATACCCTAGTTTTCTATGATTGCCCTAATTATGTCCGTATTCTCTTACAGAAACAGTGAAGGACCTGGGGGACCATATGGTACCGGTAAAAAAAATACAGCCCAAACTCATGTTCGCAAGTGGAGGAAATAGTTATATATAGTGTAGAATCATTATTTTGAGTGTATTCAAGATCAACCTTTGGACATTGTGTAATATTGTTTGAAAATTACAATCAGGCTCTCTCATACAGACCCCGGTAAATCTTGAACCCTCTCAAAGCTGGAGTCACAGCACTAGAATGATAACTGCCACTACTCACATTATCCCTTTATAACTCGCGTTCCCAATACTGCCATGCTCAGCCCTAATATTCAGTAAACCATTCCTCAATAGTAACATACCGTTGCTACAGGCAAGTCTAACGCTGGAGCATATTCAAGTGATGGCTGTGGGATTCAGGCATAGTTAACTCATTGTCTGACCTGGATCCTCTACAGAACTCAATGTTCTAATGTTGTGCATCAGTGGATTGAAGCACTGACACGACTCCTGCAGATGAAGCACATGTAGGTCTGCAGGAAGAAGATGGCGGCAGCCATGATGGACAGCTTGAGGTAAGTAAACCTAACTTCAACTGCTTTCCACTGGATATATCCCTTTGCAAAATATGTTTTTTCTTTTATTGTATGAGTGCAGTGATTAAGGATGCTCATTCATCCTCTGAGTGCAATCATTTAAGTACATTCCTTAACCCAGTGAGTGCAGTGATTAAGTGGGCTTCTTCATTCTGTGAGTGCAGTGATTAGGTGGGCTTCTTCATAATAAGAGTTCTGCACTTTACGGGAACTATCATATGAAGAGTGCTGAACCTCAGAAAATTGTATAAAGAGAGAGAGAGCTGCACCACACAGTACATGGTGTGGTGAGAGAGTGCTGCACAGTACATGGTGTGGTGAGAGAGTGCTGCATCTCACAGTACATGGTATTGTGAGAGAGTGCCGCACAGTACATGGTATGGTGAGAGAGTGCTGCACAGTACATGGTATGGTGAGACAGTACATGGTATGGTGCGAGAGTGCAGCACCGCACAGTACATGGTATGGTGAGAGAGTGCTGCATCTCACAGTACATGGTATGGTGAGAGAGTGCTGCACAGTACATGGTATGGTGAGACAGTACATGGTATGGTGAGAGAGTGCAGCACTGCACAGTACATGGTATGGTGAGACAGTACATGGTGTGGTGAGAGAGTGCTACATCTCACAGTACAAGGTATGGTGAGAGTAAGCCACACAGTAGATGGTATGGTGAGACAGTACATGGTATGGTGAGAGAGTTCAGCACCGCACAGTACATGGTATGGTGAGTCAGTACATGGTGTGGTGAGAGAGTGCTACATCTCACAGTACATGGTATGGTGAGAGAGTGCCGCACAGTAGATGGTATGGTGAGACAGTACATGGTATGGTGAGAGAGTGCCGCACAGTACATGGTATGGTGAGACAGTACATGGTGTGGTGAGAGAGTGCTACATCTCACAGTACATGGTATGGTGAGAGAGTGCCGCACAGTAGATGGTATGGTGAGACAGTACATGGTATGGTGAGAAGGTTCATCACCGCACAGTACATGGTATGGCGAGTCAGTACATGGTGTGGTGAGAGAGTGCTACATCTCACAGTACAAGGTATGGTGAGAGAGTGCCGCACAGTAGATGGTATGGTGAGACAGTACATGGTATGGTGAGAGAGTTCAGCACCGCACAGTACATGGTATGGTGAGACAGTACATGGTATGGTGAGAGCGTGCCGCACAGTAGATGGTATGGTGAGACAGTACATGGTATGGTGAGTGAGTGCTGTACCGCACAGTACATGGTGTGGTGAGATAGTGAGATAGGTACTCTTCTTTCAGGGTAGGAGCCAGCCTATTGGAGTAGGATCCTGCAAATAATTCCAGTGTTAGACAATGCTTTGAAGCAAGGCAGGGCCTAGCACTCAGCAAATGTATATATTTAAGATTAAATACATACTTGTAAAACGTCCAATGACAAACTCTACTGACAAGTACATCCACCATAGGTAGACATGTGTATCCACTAACAACACATGCATGATTCAACAAAACCTAATGTGTGTTTCCATGTCATGCCTTGTGTAATACGGTTCAGGTAAAAACAAGCACATCTGTTCCCATCCATTGCGGGGGCCATCTTGGCAGAGCAGAAGCCATTTTCAGAAAACATACCAATTAATCTGCACATTTATTGGTACTTTCCACAGGGCAGTGTTTACTATCAGGGAGAAATCTTGGTATTCACTATTCACCTATGTTTTAACAGAGTCCTTTTTAAAGCAGACTACGGGCAAATTCCCTGAGATTTGTGATTTAAAGTGGAATGGATCACCAGAAAGTATAAAACACATAATGGGTATTTTGATGAAGTGATAATAAAAATTCCTGGCGTGTAAAAACCTAGACGTCATAGAGATTCCTCTCATTGTGTCTCTTTAGCAACATTTAATACATTTCCACCAGTGTTTAGCCTCTTTTATATTTTGTATTGACCTCATATCATAACTCCCATTTGACGTTTCTGAAGATGCTTAAGCAATCCTAACAGGAACAGTCTGTAGGCAAACATAATGCAAATTAATCTGCATTGACTGGACCATATTTATTAGGCATGATATATTAGGATTAATGTAGTTGTTTTGGCTTGATGGTTTTATGAGGATAAGGAGATTCGTGTAGGGAATAAGAGTCCAAGTAAGAGGATTAGCCTGAATCTTTTTTAAAATTTTTATTACTATTATTATTTTAAATGTGATGATTTAATAATTATAGGATTTGTTTTCCAAGTTTTTGTGTGACGTGGAGGGAGTCAGACTGCTGTGATAAAATACATAAACCAGGCATCTTCAGGGATACATAAACCAGCCCCCCATCACCTCACCCACCAAACATTCCATATTCTGAAGCCACCCCGCGTTAAGGACCTCTTGCATCCTTTACAACATAAACAACCTTAATTTATATTTCACTTCATTTGTTTCAGTACACCAAAGATACTCCCCTTTCCACTTTTTCTCCAGTTTATTCCCACTCCTCTGTGACCCCAGTTGATAGCATCACATAAATTGCCCCACAATTGATACATTATATGGACAAAAGTACTGGGACACAACTCTTAATTATTGTATTCAGTTGTATCAATTAGACCCATTTCCACAGGTGTATAAACTCAAGCACCCAGCCATGCAGTCTGCATTTGCAAACATTTGTGGGGGGGAAATGATGCTCAGTTTGATATTGTGATAGGATGCCACCTTTGTAATAAGTCAGTTTGTGAATTTTCATGCCTGCTAGATATTCTACGGTAAACTGTAAGCATTATTATTGGAAAGTGGAAGCGTTTAGGAACAGCAGCAATGCAACCGTGAAGCGGAAGACCACGTAAAGTCACAAAGCGGGGTCACCAAGGGCTGGGGCGCATGGTGCGTAAATGTCACCAATGCTCTGCTGATTCCATAGCTGAAGAGTTCCAAACTTTCACTGGCGTTAATATCAGCACAAATACTGTGTAGCGGGAGCTTCATAGAATTGGTTTCCATGGTTGAGAATCTGCATGTAAGCTTTCAACCACCATGTACAATGCCAAGCGTTGGATCGAGTGCTGTAAAGCACACTGCGATGGAAGTCTGGAGTAGTGGCAACATGCTCTGTGGAGTGTCTCTGTTTGGCAGTCTGATGGGCGAGACTGGTTTGGCAGATGCCAGGAGAACATTATCTACCTGACTGCATTGTGCCAACTGTAAAGTTTGGTGGGGGAGGGATAATGGTATGGGGCTGTTTTTCAGGGGTTGGGTTAGGCCCCTTGCTATCAGTAAAAGGAAATCTTAATGTTTCAGCATACCAAGACATTTTGGAGAATGCTATGCTTCCAACTTTGTGGAATCAGTTTGGGGAAAGCCCTGGTCTATTCCAGCATGACTGTGCCCCGATGCACAAATCAAGGTCCATAACGACATGGTTAGATGAGTTTGGTGTGGAAGAGCTTGACTGGCCCACACAGAACCCTAAACTCAACCCCATCGAACACCTTTGGGTTGAACTGGAACGGAGAATACGAGCCAGGCCTTCTCTTCTAACATCAGTGCCTGACCTCACAAATACTCTACTGGATGCATGGGCAAACATTTCCAAAGAAACACTCTGAAATCTTTGGAAAGCCTTCCCAGGTGAGCTGTTACAGCTGCAAATGGAGGGCCAATTACATATTAATGTCCATGCAGAATGTAGAATGCAATGTCATAAAAGTCCCTGTTGGTATAATGATCAGGTATCCCAATACTTTTGTCCATATAGTGTATATAGAAGATAAATTCTTCCCACATCCTCAGTTCTGGTCTAGAAACATGCTGCATTCAGTGCTTGAATGCTGCAGACTCACACAGAATTGTTAACTAAAGTGAGAATTTGAAGTGAATTTCAGATTTAAGGCCAAAGTAACCAAACTGGAAGCAGAGCTGACTCAGAGAATGCTTCCATTTTGGCTACTTCTGCCTTAAATTCTAAATTCACTTTGAATTCTCACTTTAGTGCATAACCCTAGCAGTGTAAGTACAGGTCAGGTTGTAGATTGCCAGATGTTATTCCCCAGATGTTGAAAAACTACATCTCCCATGATACTTTTCCACTGTAATGGTTAACATGGCACTATTGCAGTTGTAGTTCTGCAGCAGCTGAGGGATACCATTTTACATGTTT